GCAGAATGCAGGGAGATCACAGGCCGGTGGGTGCAGAGTCTTGTGGATCCAATGGCGGAGGCTCTGGCAGCTCTCTGAGGGACTGGCAACAGCAGGAAGGTGAAGGCAGAGAGAGTGGGGGGTGGGGGAGGTTCCCAGAACCCTGCTAATGAGAAGGCCACTCCCACAAGGAGGCACCATCAGGCTGCGGCCCGATTGACAGGCTAGACTCCATGCCTTCAGTCCAAGTTTACACGAACTTGTGTAACTACCACAATAGATGTGTGTGTGTGTGTGTGTGTGTGTGTGTGTGTGTGAATGTTCTCAGGTCCCATGATTCTACTCCGGATACTTCCATGATGTTTGGCATGTATAAAGAGTAAACATTTTATTTTCAGATCACTGTGGGTTGGCAGCTCCCCACCAGGTGCGGGTGGTGGTGGTAGTGGTGGTGCCGTGGCCGAAAGACCCGGCCACCAGCCTTTGAAACCCCACAGAGCATGCTCTGCTCAGACACAGGAGCCCGGGTTGACTCAGGGCACCTGGTTAGTTTTTCCTTACTGGTTACCTGTTGCAGAACGTGGCTACCGTATCACAGACGAGACATTGGCCTTGACATACAGCCCCTCCTCCAGACTCCACAGGCATGTTAGCGAGGTGAAGCAGGGGCAGGAGCTTCCTGCCTCTCCCTTACACAAGTACTCAGAAACAGGGTCTCCCAAAGTGGCCGGGGTCTGCAGAAGCAGAGCGCTACACTCCATCCTGGACTATGGGCTGTAGTGTCAACGGTTTTAGTTGCCAGTGGAGCGCTGAGCAGTTTTTTCTTTTTTTTTATGAGGAAGAGATGGCAGGCCAAATACGTTTGGGACCCTGTGTCCTAGATTTCTCAAACAGCAGGAAAGCAAATGGAACTCAGGCTAGTACAAGCTGACCGCGGGGCGGCTGCTGCTGCTGGTTCCCTGGTGCCCACTTTCACCGCCACCCCCTGGGCTTTTCAGAGCTGCCGTCTTTATGCAAGCAGGTCACCAGGCCTTACTCCCGAGGAACCTCTGGGTGGGTTTGAACCCCTAACCTCCCAGCCCTGAGCAATAGACCTCTGTGCCTCCTGTGGTAAGGATTGAACACCCACACAAGCCAATTCCATTGCCCTTGGGATGGTTCTGCCCTCTGACCACTCTCTAGGCCAGAGGAGAATGCCCCAGAGGGTTTCTCGGGCAGCAGCGTGCACAGCAGCAGACCCCCCCACCCCCACCTTGTTCTTGTGGAGCGGCAGGTGAGTTTAACCCCCAGGCCTTTCCTTTAGCACTGAGGCCGCCTCCACACTACTGTGAGAGGCTGCTGGCCTGGCCTTGACGCTGGATGCTTCATCCGGGGAGAGAGAGGAAGCTGCTCCTTTCCCAGCAGGGAGGAACCCAAATGGGCCCACCCCCACGCCCGGGGTTCCTCCTTGCTGAGTGCCACGTCCCTCCCTAGGGGTCCCTCCGCAGACGGGCACGGGGCCGTGAAGCTGTTCCTGACTGACATCCACGACAATGGGCCCAGGACCCCACAAGCATATCGGGAGGTCTGCGAGTCCTCCGTGAACAAGCCCCTCCGCATTGAGGCCGAGGACCGGGACCTGCCGCCCTACACACACCCCTGCACCTTCGAGCTGGACCTAGCTGAGAGAGGGGCTGAGGTCAGGTGGAAGCTGGGCAGCAGCCAGGGTGAGTGCCTGTGTGGCTAATGGACAGTGGAGGCAAGCAGGCAAGGCATGTGCACACATGCCAACACACACACACACACACACACACACCAACAATGCATGCACACACTAGTGTGCACACGTACACAGCCATGTGCATATAAACATGCAGGCATACGTGTGCACATGGGTGCACTCATCAACATGCATACATACACCTGCACATATATGAACACACATGCAAGCTAATTACATGCACCTGCATGTGCAGATATGCACGTACACACCAGCATGCATGTCCACACATCCATGCATACAAACCCAGCAAGTACTGCCTTACCTGTGGCTGGCCAGTGGGTTCCCGCTTACCCTGGCGCTGTCAAATGAAGCAGAGCTTTCCTGGAGGGTCTGTAGGTTGTCATCCTCATGGAAGCAGAGTTCCTCCCTCCTCCTTCTCCCGAGGCGTGGCTGGTGGGCTCGAGCCACTGACCTTACAGTTAGTTACACAGCCAACACTTAACCACTGCGCCACTCGGCTTCCTTCACTAGATAGACCAAACTCCAGCCTCCACTCCTGACACACAGAGACCCGGTAGGATGAGCAGGACTTCCCTTTGGGTTTCTGAGACTGTAACTGTTCATGGGCGCAGACAGCTCCTGTAACCCCAAATCACACTCCTTTCTGTGGAGGTGATTCGACTCACAGAGACCCTGTAGGACAAGGCAGAGCTGCCGGGGGCCGGGGGTTCAGAGACTATAACTGCTCCTGGAGTAGAAAGCCTCATCTTTCTCTTTCGGAGTGGCTGATGGTTTCAAATTGAGGACCTCGTGTTGGGCAGCCCAACCCTTACCCACTCCACCGCCAGGGCTGCTCTTGAAGCTTCACGGACAAGCTCAGGGTGGCTGCTTCTACTCCCATAAGCACTTAAGTCTTGGAAAGCCAAGGGCAGTTCTCTAAGGTCACGATGAGTTGGAATCAACTCGATGGCAGGGAGCTGTGTGTGTGCGTAGTGTTTTCAGTGCTGAAGATCAAACCCACTGCCGCTGAGTCCATTCTAACTCACAAGGGCCCTGTAGAGAGAGGAGAATTGTCCCAGACAGGAAGCCTCATCTTTCTCCCGAGGAGCGCCTTGTGGGCCAGAACCACTGACCCACTGGTTAGCAGCTACACCATCAGGCTCCCGAGTCCTGGCGTATGTAAGGGAAGACCCCGGAGGAGCCTGCGGCTGGCAGAAGCCCACTCCACATATGGAGTTGCTCGGTCTTTCCCTGGCCTGGACACTCT